CAAAAGGCTGTTGTGTGTTAAACACAGTGAAGTTTCTTTGGTCCCATCTATATCAACTTTACAAACATCAGGTTAGAATTAATGATTTTAAATTTGAAATCAACTACTTACAGACTACAAAATCTATTCCATACCTATCAGTGGACACAAATTCTCTGAGTTACAGCTGACTTCAAATGTGAAATCTGCATTGTCAAATGTAAATAAAGCACTTTCCTTTAGATTCTGGCTACCTAATATTGATTGTCCAAGAATGCCATATTATGTTTTCATTTCCTCCTTCAACAAAAAATTTTTGATCTGCACTGGATACATTTACTGGCAACAACATTTCTGATGAGAAGCATGTGGGTATGACCCACACCACTCTCCACCATTTTCTCATTAACCAGCAGTCTTCTCTAGGTGAACAAAGTAAAACAGCTTCACAGGCTTCCCTGATCACTAGGAACATCTCTGTCTTAATTTGTAATGTGTGCCTGTGATAGGCCTATCAAGAGGTAAAAGGAAATAAGAAACTAAGAACAGTAGCATGGTTGTTTTAAAACACTGTCCACTTGGGATGGAGAGCTGGCACAGCCATTAAAGGCTCAGGCTCACAACCAAAACACTGTCCACAAAATCTTGGACATGCCTCCCATCAAAAAGTGGAGTTATAAGAAAACTAAACTAATCTAAATGAAGTGAAGACCCTTCTTGACTCTGAGCCCCTCTTAGTAACTCACTTCTAACCAACAGACTATAGCAGAAGCAAAGCTGAAGGCTGTGGAGGGTGGTTTGTAAAGGTGGCAGAGCTCCCTCCTGGCTCGATGCCCAAGTGATGCCATATCATTTAGTTTTATAATGCTGGACTACATCCTCACGGAAACAACTCAAGGGGAGGAATAATTTATTTTAGCTCACAGTTTTAGCAACTGCATTCCACAGTTCTTGACTTCATTGGCTTTGACATTGATGGAAGTGGAACACGGCAGTGGGAGGATAAAGAAGGGAGAGGGAGGGAGGGAAGGACGAAGGGGCGCTTTATAAAGATACAACCCTGGTGACCCACATTCTCCAGCTTGGTCCTATTGCCTGAAGTGTCTCAAACTTTCCTGAACAGCAAACTTTCCCAAATAGCACTTATCAACTGGGACCAAGCATTTTTCAAATGACACTGTAAGAGGCATTATTCAAGACACTCACCTGTGAACATTAGCTATCATGCTGTGAGGAAGCCAAGCAGCCACAGAAAGGCCTCAGTTCCACCCTACTAAGGTCCCAGCCAAGGGCCAGCATCAACCTCCAGCTATCAGAGTGAAAGGTCTTTCCTAAGACTGTAGCCACCAGGGTTTGAGGTCCCTCAGCAGACACCAGTGGAGAAAAGGCAGGTTGTCCACACCAAACAAATACTCAAATTGCAGATGCATGAAAAAGTCTCCTTATTTTAAGCCACTAGGCTTTAAGTGGTTTATAACAAAGCAGTGCTTGACTGAAACATGTAGATGATTCTAACCAAACTCCGCTAGCCTAATTTTTCATTTCAAACTGTCAACAATTAACAAAAAACTATGCTGACATACCTTGTCATAGTCAACTTACCTTAGCAACCTGTCACTGCCCTTAGCTACCAGCTAGCTTTCTCCTAGGCGCGTCCCAATTTTTAACAACAAATTCCCCAACCGCCTCCTTTCACCCTGTCTTAAACTCATTGTAAGCTTTGAAAAGCTGCTTTTATTAAACACCGTAGTTTATGAAACTCACTACTGCTAACATGTGTCTTAAATCAATGAACAAGTGAAATTTGCCTGAAAAGGTTGTTTTGTTTCTGAAGCTAATCAGTTCAAGATGTTCTGATGCAGCCATTCAAATTGGTTATCAGGCCAACCAAGTGACCAGGTCAAAACAGTTACTGTTCCTTCTAATGAATACTGGGTGGAGAAAGAGCCTAATTATGGAAATAAAGTTTATCTTTAAGAAACACAAGCCTGAAAAGTTAGAAGCTTAGAAGGGACCTTGGGTAAAGTACACAAGTTCTTTTTCTAACTACTGGGAAACTAACAATCCAGCTAAAAATTTTCATGACATAAATATGGAGAATTTTTAATGTATTCATTCTGACTTGGGATATCAGTCTACCACAATATAATGGCAACTTTAAAATTCAATTTTGTAGGTATTTTATAGTTCTGTTAGTACTTGAGAGTTACAGCAATAAAATGTACTCCTTACACCACTAGTTAACATTCTTCACATTTTATAAATGATAAATATAATAAATGAACCCATGAGAATCCAAAGATAATCTCAGGAAAGTTAAGTGTAGCTGCTCTGTTTCTACCAGAAGAAACAGAACTGTCAGTAATGTTAGTAAATAAGGCAATCGGTTCAAATCCTTTGGGAACTCTAGGCCCAGCAGGGCTACACTACTGGCCAAAGGCCAATATAACTAGTTAGTGGTATCCCTGTTCTTTCTAATTAGGCAGGAAGCTCAATTAGATTTGGAAACAATTATTGTCTGTTTCAATTTGAAGAGCAAATCAAAGTAGCTAGCCTGGCTCCAATTCCCTGAGTGTTAAACTCATATTCTTTTAGGGGATGATCTTGCCAATGTGAGGAAACACAACTTTAACAAAGGGGGCTCTGACATCTCTAGGAAGTAGGAGATGGGTGGTGAGACTGGCTTGACTCACAGTGTGAACTAAACTAAAAATCATTCACCGCCCCAATATCCCTTCTCTTAACTACAAAGGCTTTAAGGGTCACACTCAATTCTGGGTCTCGCTGGCACCTACAGTACTATATGACAAAATAAGAAAAATAAGACTGCACACAGAGGTCACTAGGGAAGGCATGCCCTCCCTCCACCCCCACCTCAATTAAAAATATGAATCCTGTTAGGAGGCTGTGATGGATAATCTTTATTATCAACTTGACTGGACTGAGAAATGTCTGGGAGATTAGTAAAGCACACTTCAGGGTATGTTTCCAGAGACAATCAGATCCTGAGGGTTCTGATCTAATGAATAGTTTAGTTCATTCAAAATTTGAATTAACTACTGGGAAGTGGAACCATGGCGGATGGGGCCTGATGGAGGAGGCAGGCCACTGGGTAGTATCCTTGGCTGCATCTTACTCTTCCTGCCACTGCTTCACTCTGGTTCTCGTTCAAGACATACAGTACTCTGCTTCCTGGCTGCCATGAGATGCAGAATCTCTACACCACATGCTCCTGCTACCAGGATGTTCTGTGTTACCACAGACCCAGAGTCAACAGTCAAGGACTATGGACTGAGATCTAAGCAGCTAAATACAGTCCTACTCATACTGGCAATATACCTTGCTTCTCTACTCAATCTATTTTGTCCTAAAGTGATGTGTCCCTCTGGCATGTTCTCACATAGGTCAATCTGACAAACAACCTTCAGTCATTTTACCTACCTCCTACCACTACTCCATGATTTTTAGAGGATAATAAGAGGGAGACATTTATCTGTTTTCTCTACGAAAACATCAACATGTTCAGCTCTCAACACTTCTTACAGCAGAGAGCAGAGTCAAGGCTGACTTGAGAGGAGGGTGAGAGAGAAACGATTTTCACACTTCTACCAACACTTAATCTCAATTGTAAACAGCATCTATTATCTTCTTAAAACTATTTTATCTATTATTTTTATATGTATGAGTGCATTGCCTCCATGTATGTAAGTGCGCCTGTGTCGTGCAATGCCCGTGGAGGTCAGAAGAGGTGTTGGATCCCCTGGAACTGGAGTTACAGATAGTAGTTAACCGCCATGAGGGTGCTGGAAATGGAACCCAAGTCCTCTGCAAGAACAGCCAGTGGTCTTAACTGCTGAGCCATCACTCCAGCCCCACCTAAAAACCCAGAAGCAAAAAGAAAACTACCGCATGCCTCATAGCTATCCCTTCTAGAAGAAAGAACAAAACACTAAGCCTTAATTAAAGGAGATATTACAAAAGCTATATACAGCAGACTATCTTTCCTTCTACCCAAGCACCACGCTGAGACATTCCATTTAAGGAACAAAGTGGTGTCTAAGCACCACAGTGATCCCTCAAAGGCCATAGGAACAGAAGCATGGTGTCTTCCATTCTTTCAGTGTTCTTTCTGAGAAAGCTGACCGTGGACACACATAAAGTGGTACCAACTACCAAAGTTCAATGGCATTTCCCAAAGAAGAAACAAATTAGGAAATATCAAGAAGCTAGGACTTCTACTAATTCCATGCCATTTTTTTAAATGAATTTGAAAATAAAGAATGAATGTATCTCTTCAAGACTGTGACAAAATGTTTTGGCAAATTTCTTAGGTTAAGGTTCACAGAAATTCTGCAAACCAGTAGCTACTCTAGATGCAATTACTAAATAAACAGCTCTACTGCTGACAAAGACTGTATGGTTCAGAATCCAAGTGTACAATGGGATAGAGCACCCCATGCCCTGGTTCCTATGAAGAACCTTCCTCTAGCATGGCACTAAGCACCTCAATGAGTTCATCATAAAGTGTAGGAATCAAGTAAAAAGCAAGCAGTAAGGAGATGAGGAATGATGCTTACAGAAAAAATATCTACTATCAATCAGTAATTAGTAAGCAATTCTAAGAGGCATTGGAAAAACAAAACAAAGCCCCAGCAAGTGTAAACAGAGCTTCACATTACAACAGTGTGCAAAAAACTGGAATCAAACCTGTAGAACCAGAAATGTTTGGTCATTTAGACTGACTTTATATGAGTAAGAATTCTCCTTTTAGCTTCCAAATAAATGGAATCCCTACTTAGAACAGAGACTCACAAATTCTTTAAGTAGTATGCATATGTTTGAACTAGAGTTTCAAGTAACTCACTTACATGCTAGTGATGCAAATATATGAAGTCAAACTAGAAAAAAATTGTGAAACTACAGAAAAAGACCAATTATTTTCTTTGGGAAGTCGCAGAACACTTTGTGACATGTTCGATAACCTTTGAGGATGGAGTATGTATAGCCCCAGAGCAGCCTACCCAGAACGTTTCCTGGGGGCACCTCCTCCAGCTCTTCTAGTTCCCTTCCCATCAGAAGATACAGGTTCTCCAGGGTACAGCAGGCCATGTGGGGCACTGGAGGGAGGTCCTCGAGTGGAGCCGAGAAGCCTAGTGGAACCTGAACAGGGAGCATCAATGGAGGCAAGTTAGGAGGCATTAGAAGCATCAACCATACTCATAAAGCTGCCTTTAGTCAGCGGCAAGATATGGTGCAGTAACCTTTCATATGTATACTAAACACAAAGATGAAATGTCACTTTCTATGAGGTATGATAAAAAATAAAGACAAATTTTATGAATAAGTTCTGAGATACTAAAACCTCTTAAATATTGAAAAAAAAAAATACTGTCTAGATCCCTACCTAATCGTAAGCTTTAAGGTTAAAACATTCTTTTGTGAGCTGGCAGCACTCTTTCTGTGGGTCTCCAGAGCCCTTTGCTAGTATGTACGTGCCATTACGCCAGCCACTAGTTTATAACTATACTGTGCTACTATTTCAACATTATTATTATCCTAATTTAAAGTTATTTTAATTTGTGATAATGATCTTAAAGCATTCAACAAGGACTGTGCTAGTGCCTTGAAACATATGAAAATAACTGATAAAAATGCCAGGAAAAAGCTGAGCACCTGCTAATTATATGCTATGATGTTAATCTGGAAGAGAACATATGGTAAAATATTAGAACACTGATGAGAAGACAGAGCATACATGCTGAAAAAATATGCACAAGTACAGTGGATTTATGAGTCCTCCTGCTTCGTATTATTGCTTAAGGAGATACTGGCATGAATGATTTAAGATTTGAGTGTATAAAGCCTTCAGAAAAATATCCTCCATATACAAGTATCCAGAATATACTTCAATCAACCGACTAACACATCTTTGGTAGCCATAGGCTCAGTGCTAATACTAGGTGGAAAAAAGTCTCAGCTACAACATACACTAAGACAACCAACATCACTAGTAAAGAATGATGACAGAAAAGGAGCAAAAGCAAGTGAACTCAAAAGGACCAAATAGAAAGATGCTCCTATGTTAAGGCAGACTTGGAAGCCTCCTGAAAGTGACAGCCCTTTTAGTGCAAAATCTATCTAAGTGTACATGTTCTGATATAATCACATCTCTGCAGGGTAGCTCTAAAGATAGCCGGAAGAAACTTTAAAATATAAGGAATATATTACGCATGGTGACAGAGGCCTATAATCCAGGTACCATGCTATTGTTTCAACATTATTATTAATATCATAACTTAAATTGTTTTAATTTTGTGATAATGGTCTTATCACAGGTCCAACCACACAAGCTCAAGGCTTGCCTAGGCTACAGAATGAGTTCACAGTTAACCTGGGTAACTCAGTGAGACCCTGTCTCAAAATGAAAGTAAAAAGTGGCCTGGGGATATACAGCTCCATGGTAGGGTGCCTGTCATGTATAAGGCCCTTGGTTAATCCCTAGTAGTATGCACACGTGCACATTCTTGAAAGCAGGTTCTTCTCCAGTCTGTCCTGCAGAGGAGAACTAGCCCAACAACACTGACCACAGTGCTGTAGATTCCAAGGACAGCCAGCGAAGCTAGGCCTAGCTCCTAGCTGTTAGAAACTGAATATGTATACTCTTTCAATCTGACAGATGTGTTGTAATCTGTAATACACAGCAACAGAAGAATAACACAAGGGACAGACATAAAATCTGAGTAGGACTTATTTCCAGAGTGAAATACTCCATACATCTTTTTTTAAAAAGTACATCAGAATTAGAAGGTTTTTGTCTAGGAAGTATGTTGTCTTTTGTGCTGTCAATGTAGTTTATGCTGTTTGAACTGTTTGACATTTTCAACCTTTAGTCTCGAGACTACATTATATACTGAAGGCAAATAGGCATGCTCATAGAATTTGTAATACAGTAAGTCAGCGCTACATAAAACAACTCCTTACCATTTGGACAGTTTAGAGAGTACTTAACTCTGACTGAAGAACAATAAACTACTTATTATAGTCATGCCAAGACATAGATGGGTTGTTATATGTACATGTCATTATAATACTTTTAGCCTCCCATAAACTATGAGTCTGCATTTACCAAGTGCTACTCTTCCTCCCATAGCCTACAGCAAGTCCTCCCTAACCACCATGCAGCACCAGTCTCCAGAGAATAAACTGCTTTAAAACTAAGGGAATGTGTGTTCCAGGTAGGCAGAGACTGATGGTAGACTTTCTTCTGCTGAGCCCTCCCTCTCCCACTTGCATTTAACCATGTTCTCCAAGTTCTCCTACAGACAGGCAGCTTCCATGAGCCTAAATGCTTCTGCACCTGCAGGGTCATGTCACTCACTGCTGAGTTGCTTCCTACTAATCTTGACTGAGTGCCAGGCCCTCGGGCACTTTTCTTATCCCGTGACCATCACTGTTTAATTGCCATGTCTGCATCTTGTGTTTTGTGATAGTTCTGGCCCATGGGTTCTTTTTTTTTTTTTGCCATAGCTTAGGTATTTTTCAATACTGGCTGTCCATCTGATCTTAAGCCCTCCTGAATGGATTCTGGTCATGAAGATGGCACCTATTACCTACTTGTTTCCCATACCTTTGGCCCAGGCATCTGAGTTTTTGGCTCTCTAAGTTCTTGAAGACATGCCACTGACTTGGCACCAGAGGAACAGCTATACTTACTAGTCCTTTCTTCCACCCAAGATGATTCTTTCTTCTAGAAGAAACATGTTAAAACAGGTCTACAAAGTTGGTTCACTTGCTTGTATCCTTTCCAAAATGCTACTAAGCAAGATATTTATACTAAATGTACCAAGGTCACTGACCAGATGACTCAAAAGACTCAGTGTCCTGTTCTGGCCATACCCCAACAAGGACATCACCAAGTCCTGACAGTTTGAAAGTTTTAAGACCCTTGAACCTTGTGTTTTACTCCTCTTACCCGTTGCAAAAATTCAACAGGACTATACTTTGGTCCTAAGACAAAAATTTTCTTTCCCCTTCGAGCTACACCACTAAACACACGAGCAAATGCAATGAAGGCCTCTTGGTTGCTGTCTTCACGGGGCACAGGCTCAGGGTTCACACTTGTCATATCAGGCTCATCACCTGCCAGACACAAAGGGTTAGTCAGTGCCAAGAATGCTCTCTTCAACCCAGGAACCGTGTGTACACACAGAAGGAATAATGAATATTGTATGTTTGGTCCAAGAATAAAAACACTATTGATAAAAGCTATGATGAAAGAGCACTAACTAAGCAAAAGCATCAAATATTTTGCACAAAAGCCTGCTTAGAGGCCCCAACCTTAGCCAACGAACTATTGGTAACTGATTACTGCTGGGAGAGGGAGAGCTGATCTTCTTTAAGGGAGTGACTCTAGATAGGCTGACTAGACTCCAGTGGATGAACTTGTACTGAGGGACATCTGGTATAAATGCTTGACCAAATAGTACTTAGCATATAAGACTGAATGCATGAAATCCAGTGGAGAGGGTAATGGGGGGGCACAAATGGAGGAGGGGGTCTAAATTTGATTAAGATCTGTTATATGAAATGCACAAAAACTCAATTTAAAAAAAAATATATATATAAAAGATATTCCTAAATAAAAACTAAGGGGGGGAAAAAAAAAAGGCCTGCTTAGGAAAGCTATACCTTTTGGCTCTTCTCCCTGAGGACTTGTTTCAAGGGTACCCCGATCCTGTGTCGGCTCCTGAGGTGCCTGCCCCTGTGATGCTGCCAACTTTTCTGCATGCCTTTGCCTCGCATGTTCACGTCTCTGGGCGATTTCTTCTTGAGTGAGAGGCCTACAGGACATCACAAGTACATTAGTATCTGGCAGCATCAAACATCTCAGTTTGTTCAGAATGGGAAAGAGCAAGTGCTCATATGGCTGGGAAGATGCTAAGTCCCAATTCCTTCCAAGAGAGGCTTCTCCAAGTTCTCTCCCCAGCTACAGCAATGAGAAGGCCAGGCTCTGCAACCACGCTGCATCCCAGTGGCTCTGAGCTTAAGAACCAGTGAACAAGTGTCCATGGCCCTAAGCAGCACAGAACCTTTCTCAGATAACAGAGCTCGAGAACAGGAAAAAAGAAGGGAATGGGTAACAGATACCAAGGCTTGGAACATCCTGAGAAACATGCAAAAGGCCTCTATGAGAAATAAGTTTATTTTTAGGCTCAAAAATAGGTCTTCATGGAGAATGAAAGTTCACAAGGAAGGGCATGTCAGGCTGAGAACTTAAAATGCAGCAGGACTAAAAGGTCAAATTAAAACTATCAGTTACTGTTGGGTGTATGATGTATTCAGAAAAGGCAACATGTAGATAGGTGGGAATGAGTGTTTGCCAGGGGTCAGTCTGAACAGAGAGAGAAAAGTGTTGGAAATGATGGTTACTTTTTTTCATAAAAAGTTACTCACTAGAGAGCTCAAGAAACTAATAAACGGCCGGGTGGTGGGGTGGGGGTGGGGGTCCAGAGAGGGATGGTAGAATGGATGGGGATATGGATGGGGAAAGGGAACATTAGATTAGGAAGGGTTAAACTGGGTGGGGAATGGGAGGGCAGAGGAGGGAATATGGGATGGGACAAGCAACACTAGAGGCCTTTAGAAAAAGCCATATGGAAATCTAACACTATAGAAGCTTTTTAAAGTATATACATATACATTATAAAAAGATATTAAAAGAAGTTATAACAGGGAGACTTTGCCCCTTCTAGATGTTAAGGCTAACAGAAAACAAAAACAAACAAACAAACAAACAAGAAATCCCCAAAACCTCAGTGCCAGGAATGGACTCCCTCTCTAGAAGCTATTCCCTCAAGCAACCCTGGCTATTGTCTCTGCTCTTGGTTACCCACCAGAACTGACTGGATGGTAAGAGCCTATTGCTGAAGACACTGCTATATACATGAGCTGTGAGCTGTAGAACAAACAATGAGTAATCAAGCTGGTGCTGACTTCAGAGCCTCATCACCACTGGCTAGCATCCACAGTGCTGGAAGGTGCTATGCATGCTACCACAAAAAAATCATCAACAGCCTTAGCCAGTTGTGATCCTGTGAATCACAGTTGGTCTGGAAAAATATGCCCACTGGTACAATAGTAGCACAAATATTATGGGAGTAACCAACCACTTTTTAATTGGCTTTCAAGATCACTTCAAAGGATGGAGCCCATACCTGACACTGTTATCAGGTCTAGGAACCTGAGGCTAGACAGGTCACAGGACATAGGGGAGACCCTAATACTAGTTTTCTACTAGTTATCATATTAAACTAACTCCTAATGGCTTATTAACCCATAGATTAATGCAATTTTTCAACCTTTCCCCAGAGAAGCTTCCTTATGCAGTACATGGCGAATAACACAGAAACCTACAACTGGCTAATGTGCAGAGAACAAGAGGCTACAGACTGCTTATCCCAGAATAGGACACCTGTATCAGACATCTGCCTCCCAAGGCTCATTGATCATTACAGGAGAGGAGGCTGAAAGACTGTAAGAGCCAGAGGTAGTGGATGACCACAGGGAAAAGAGTTTTCCAGGCAGGTAGTCAGTTAATCACATGAACACACAGCAATGATGACAGCATGCACAAATCCCATGAAAGCTCAAATTAAGACAAAATCCCAACACAGACATGAAGAAGTGCGTAAGAAACCCCAACCCAGTCTAAGGAAATCATGGCAACTGATGACTGTTGGGAGGGGCAGAGACAGTCACTTTCAAGCATGGGATTCCTGGTAGGTTAACCAGGCTCCAGTGGATGGGCCCATACTAAAGTACATTTGGGAAAACTAATTAGACTCTATAGGCCTTATTATAACAGAGTACATTAAATTGAGTGGGAGATAATAAGGAGAGGTGTGGATCAAAGAGGGAATCTAAATACCATCAAATTACAGTGTGTATATTGCAAAAATTCAATTAAAAATAAATTTTTAAAAAGTTACTCTCATTTCTATCAGGACACAGAGAAAGTGCTTGGTTGGAGCTTTAATACTAAAAAGATTTTTACAAAGGGCAAGGTTGAGGCTGGGTGCTTGATTTGGGAGTCTGGGTTTGGAAAGGAGAAAACAGAGGTAAAGATCCCTAGGACTTGACTCCCATGTGGGCATCTGTATGTTCAACCCCAACACAATGCAGGTCCAATCCTGGCCCTGAAGTCCATAGAATGTGATAAACTTATCACTTCAGTCACACTGAGCATGGGCATCCAGATAGATAGCTGGGACAATCCTAGAGGGTGAGCTGTGCGCTCCCACTTGAAGGTGCACTGCTGTGGCTGGTCCCAACATTGTGCCTCCCTCCCTTCCATACTGTCCTTACAATTCTGGTTTCACTCCAAGACCATTACACCTTGATGCTAGCCTGACAGCCTCATCCCCGACCCTCCCACCCTCTCTTCTTTCTTGGAGAACTGGAGCTCACATAGCTAGGCACAGTGCATAGGCACTGTCTACCTACCTTCTAAGTAGCCACATACTCTTGGAGCTAATGATGCCAAGGATCCTAAATTTTTTACTGTTTTTAACTTATGTTTGCTGCTGTACTCTTCAGATACCTGCTAACCTAACACCAGGACTGGGAACTAGTGCTGCCTGCCTTCCAAAGGGAGAGTTTAGACCTAGCAGTTGGCCCTTCTAGTTAGACCCATCTCACTGTAGGTGAAGAAGTGAGAGAGCAGTCTGGTGAGAATGCCAGCGCCACCACTGCAGGAGACAAGCTCCTCTTCCCAGGAAGCTCTAGACGCCTGCAATACAGGATGCACCCTGCTTCCTCACAACTGCTCGTCATGGCAGCCCTTCTGTTCTCTGTAGCAGTGGCTGACAAATCCACTTCTGGTCTCTTTCTCAGGCATCATCAGCAACCATGTCTTCCTTCCTCCCCTTCCCCTTCTGCCCCAAGCTGTACATTTCTGCTTCAACATTCTTTGCTCTAGTCTTTTGCTAAAATTAGGAGTAAAAGCTGTGAGGGTAGTGCATGCTTCTAATCCCAATGCCAGGGAAGTGGAATCAGGTGGATCCCAGCTCCCTATCGGTGAGGCACCGTCCCAAAAAACAAAGTGTATGGGATCTAAGGAATAACATCTGAGGTTGACCTCTGCCCGCACATACATCTATACACACCTGCACACACCTGCACACCCTGCCCCAGGCATAAGAATACCAGAAAGTACAGATTAAAACACCAATGCAGAGCACAGTATCTATATTATTATTATTATTCTAGAGGAGGAAGGAATACCTGAGACACCTGGCAGCATCTGGGAACTGCTCCCCTAATGGGCTCATCACTGGTCCAGAAATTGGTTAACACCGCATTCATATAGCACTTAAAGGAAGAACAAAGTATATCCCTACTTCACATATGGAAACTTAGAAAGTTTAAGGAACTTGGCTCAAAGTAACAAGGATACTTTATGGAGTCATAATTCAAATGAAGGATCTGTGTGGTCCAAACTCTACAGTCTCCATCACCAACCTATATCTCCCATTTAGAAAAAAACTAAAGATGACAAAATTATCACCTTAAGAAAATGGACTTGAATGTTAGGTTTCATTAGAAAAGAAGTACAGTTTTAACCTTATATATTAAATCCTAATGTCTGGAATCTATGACCCAGAATGAATCAGCATTTGAACTGAGAGTGGTTGTGCATACCTATAATCTCATATCTTAGTACTTGGGAGGCTGAGGGAAGAGGACTGGCAGTCTCAGGATAGTCTGCACTACAGAGTAAGACCCTGTCTAAAAAACAAAATAAAAAAAAAAATCAGCTTTTATAGTACCAGTTAGTATAAAATGCATTGGTTAATACCTACTGTGTGCCTTTCACTGTTATGGACACAGGGAGCAATAGGAGAGGGAACAAAACAGAAAAAGGGAAAGCGCACATTCATATTCAAGTTGTTATTATTCATATCTTCTGGGCATCCAGTATTTGTCCAGAGCAAAGAGGAATTTGCAAATATTTGCAAGAACAAGTCTCTATGGATAAGGAATAGCCAGAGGTGATGAGCTGGTTAGGCTACAGTCAAATGACAGATGATATCTCCTGAAGGAGAGTAGTTGCTTGTCCTAGAGAAGACCAGTGGTGAGAATGTTCACTGGAGACTGACAGTAATGTGGGCAGGTAGATCTGGAGGGAAAAAGAAAAAGTTGGCAGGTGGATTTGGAGAGGAAAGAAAAGAGGCAGCAACAGAACCCATCCAGGCTTGAGTTTTTATGCACAATGGTCATACTCTGGCCTGACTCTGGTCAGAGGACGGGTTGCAGAGAGAACAGGCGTAGTCAATACAGATGGTGATCATGCTACAAGGTAGGTGAAATGACAGGGAGCAGGTGCCCAGAAAGAAAAGAGGCATCTGTCTAGGCAGCATCTGGCTACTAGAAGCTGGTTCTCAAAGAGGAAGCAGAACAACACAAAACCAGGGAGATGACAAAATCAGGGTCTGCCTGATAAACTCCAAACAAAATGCTACGTAACAGGCACCATCATCAGGTAAGACACAGAAAGAGTTTCACATAAAACACAGTTCAGAATAGCAAAAGCAAAGGCAGAGAATATAAAACAGGCCAACAGACTGGGCAGCTGCCTGCTTACTTAAGCTGGGGCTCCTCATAGAGGATGGGGTGCTAGAAGACAGATTCTACAGCATACTGTGGAAGACCAGAAGTTTTGAAGGTAGGCAGGCCTGGATTCAAACACTTGCGCAACCTCCTTCTGGCTATGTAACCTAGAACACATTACCCACTTTTTTTCCTAAGGCTCTTTAATTTCCTCACAAGTCAAACTGAAACACTAAATACTACACTGAAGAACTGTTGTTAGATCTAAGTGGCACATTCAATGGTGCCATAGTAATATTACAACAGCTTAATAAACTGCAACAAACTGCTAGTTACAGAAAGGAGTAGTTAAGGCTTGACATGCAACCTTTGCCCCTCAGGCTGCCAGATCTTTGCCCCAGAAAAAAAAAACAGATCAGGAGGAAAGAAGAGAAAGTCTAGCCACAGTCCCATACACATGTAGAGAAGTATATTCAATAAAACACCTTACAGAATAGGATTAATTGTTGTGCCAGAAACACACTAACACATGATGGCATTTTAAGAAAAAATTTCACAGAACACAAAACTAATAGCAGTGGCATAGTTACTATAATTCTTTAGAAAAAAATTTAAATGATAAAAACACGCATTTGAAGTCTCAAGAGTACGTTCTCAAATTCTCCAGTATTCTCCTGGGATATAAAAAAAACTGTTGCTTATGCAGATGGTGATTAACAAAGACTGACAACTGGTCAGTGTGCAGAGAATAAGACACTGGAGAGCTCAGCCCTAAATGGAATACCTGTATCACACCTTCTCCTCACAAGGCTCAGGGAACATTGCACAAGAGGGCAGAAAGACTGTAAGAGACAGAGGTAATTGTACATGCTGTCACAAGTGTTGTAGGTTCGTATGTGCAAGCCCAAGTCAGACAAAAACCCAGCACGGATGGGGGAGGAGGGCAAGAAGTCCCAGCCCTGGAGCTGGTGGGAGAGGAAGAGTCTGTTTTCTTTAAGAGTGTGATGTCTGGTAGGTTGACCATAATCCGATGGACCCACATCCAAGAGCATTTGGGGAACACAAGTTAGACTCAACAGATCTATAAAAAAAAAATAGAGGACATGAACTGGGGGGAGGGGTCGGTGAAGAGGTGAAGAGGAAATGAATATGGTCAAAATATATTGCATAAAATTCTAAAAAGAAAGAAAAAAATCAATTAAGAAAGTTATTTTTTATTTGCTGCTCCACAACTAGGCATAGTGGAGCACTGGGAAGCAGAGGCAGGTGGATCTCTACATAAGTGAGCTCCAGGGTGACCTTGTCTCAAAAAGACAAAAAAAAAAAAAAAAAAAAAAAAAAGCTGTTATATGGAGCACTGAAATATTAACTGGGACACTTATATTCATTTTCAACTGTTTACTTACTTGCTAATTTATAATAAACCCATGCAATCCTTCACTGACTCCCATATTTCCTTATTCAGATGATCACTCATTCTTCATTCATTCCACACATTCTTTCACTCATTAATTCCTTCATTCCTTCTCAGAACAAAAATTATGAAAGCTTCTTATGTTCAGATCACTAAGAAAAACCTAAAAATATATATATACAATCTTTTCCTTGAAGAGTAAGTAGAATTTGCTGGGCGTGGTGGCGCATACCTTTACTCCCAGCACTTGGGAGGCAGAGGCAGGTGGATCTTTGTGAGACTGAGGCCAGTCTGGGAGTGCCAAGCCAGCTGGGGCTACAGGGAGACCCTGTGTCCAAACAAACAAGCAACCCACCCCAACCAAAAACCAAAACAAACAAAAGAATAAGGAGAATTTTATTTGAAAAAAGAGACTTTCTAAGATGAGTTAGAGTATTAGGAAAGAACCGAAATTTGTTGAGGAACAGCAAAGACATTAGAGAAGCAAAGAACAATCTAGTGAAACATATGCTTGGGGGGCAGGTCATGATGAGCCAAATTTATGTCACAGTGACTCCCAAACTTCACTCATAGATTACTTTCATAATTGGTGCCACTTTTCCGTATTATTTGCTTAACAGTTATTTAAATGGACAAATATTTTTACTTCATTAAACCTTAAAATCTCATTTTGTGTAAAGAAAAGCTCTATCACTTCACATAAATAAGCAATAAAACCAAATATATATTAAAATAAACATGACAACTAATAAGTGTCACTGAAATTACAACAGCCCTCTTCACATTTTAGACATTACCTCTCTAGGTAATGAGAATCACTAAGAGTTTTTAAGCAGGAGACATAATCTTTACAACAAAGTCTTAGAAAGATCACTCTCAAGGGCTGGATGGACAGCTCAGCAGGAAAGCACTTGTTGGCAAGCCTGAAAACCTGAATTCTGTCTTCAAAACACAAATCATGGAGAGAACTGACTACCCCAAGTTGCCCTCTGATTTCTACACATGGACTGTGACACACATTCATGTATACACACACACACACACACACAAATGTAAAATAAAATGTTTTAAAAATGGGTTTGAAAAAGATCACTCTGATGCTGGGTGACATGCACTGGTCAACTAGAGCCTGGGGCAGGGGAACCAGACCAGAAGTTACTGCAATGATTCTATAAGAGAAGACCAGGATCTAACTAGGGGCAGGGGACGCAGGAGCCTTAGGAAGGAGAGCACATGGAGAGCAGATGATGTAGAATTTGTAGATTCCCCAAGACTCTGAACTTGAGAAATAATCCCTCTCCACAACTTGTCACCTCAGTAGGCACACAAATTATACACAGAGAACAGATTTTCCAACATCCCAACTCCACTGAGGTCAATATAACTAGAAATGGAGTGGGTTTACACTACATCTTGCCAGATATGTTCAATAAAAGCTGTTACTATAACTATCACTGATGTCTTCAAACTTATATCAGTTCAAGTCAGTATCTCAGAGGTGATTTCAACAGCTTTCTTCTACAGATATGACAAAAGATTAACTCAGTTTGAAGGCTAGGGTGAGGAGGAGTGGCATTATCAGTTCCCTCCCATCCACACCCAGGTACATAGCCACCAATCAATCCTAAACCGTGTCCCTAGCCCAGCGCAACTTCCCTTTTCCTTACCTTGGCTTATTCTGAGGCAAGGCCTTAGCATCAACTGCAAACATTTTGGAAACAAATATAATAACTGGTGCAGTATCCTCACTGCTGCATTTCATAAAAGCTAAACAAACAGGAAGAAAAAAATGTTACTATTTTTCCCATTTTTGAAAACCTAGATCTTAGCCTGGTATGGTGATAACCATCTTTAATCCCACTACTTGGGAAGCAGAGACAGGCAGATCTCTGTGGGATTCAGGTGAGCCTGGTCTGCATAGAGTTCCAGGAAAGCTGGGGCTACAGGGAGAGCCTGTCTCAACTCCCTCCCCAATTCCCCCCCAAAACCCCTAGACTTTTGTGGAAAGCAATTAAACAGCTACAAAACCACCTAAACATGTAGAATATCTTACAAAAGCCAGGTGACAGACAATGACTGCTTGGAGAAGAGAAAAAGATGGAAGTTTTGGAAAGTAGTTGGATTCTGGATATATTTCAAAAGAACAAACAGTATTTGCTGATAAACTGGGCACAAGGGTGTGAAATCAACACAGAGCCACAGGCTCCACGGTCTTCACACTCAGCAGACAGGAATAGCCAAGAGAAGTACTGGGGAGCTGGAGTATGTAAAACTTGCCATGCTTTTTTGGAGTGGAGAGAGGGAACAAGTGAGCACACAGCGAGTCTGAGTTCACAAAGTACCTGTGCATTTCAGATACAGATGGGGAAGGTAGGAGCATATCACTGGTCATTGAAGTCCTGAGATTGGATGAGATCATAAGGGTGACTGCAGATAAGAGATGACAAGGTCTAGGGAACCCTGTGTGAGACAGCCCGAAGCCAAAAGCCGGGAGATGGAAAAGAACCAGAACCAAATATTAAGACTAAGATCCAAAAAAGAAAGTGGAAGAGAGAGTAAGTGGATGCATGTGCAAGGGAAGTGACCCACAGAGGAAAATGCTGTTGACTGGGGCAAATGCTACTAACAAATCTGGTCAGATAAGGTGACTAGATTACCAAAGAGAGAGTTAACAGTGACTCTGGCAATAGCAGTGATTACAGTGTAGGGGTTACAAATTTCAGTAAAATGACAGTGAACACATGGAACCCACAGAGCCTGGAATGCCAGTTTCCTCTCTCCTGGGGAGTGTGTGTGCAAGCAGCTCTTAAAAAGCAGTATAGTCCCTGGATCCATTTTTCTAGTCCAGGGGGAGACAGCCACGGCAGTGATTTCATGGCCCAGGGAACATATGCTTGGCTGTTTAGGAGGATAGGGTAGAACATGATCATGAAAAGATCAGAGCAGTAGGAATGAGTCTGGCCATGTGGCTGCCACCCAGATGAATCAGCAAAGTGCTGTAGTGAAAGGGAAGGGGGACAAAAACTGGTGACATAGTCATTCATGAAAGATGTTTGTTTGTAGAACTTGATGTGTGACGAACTGGCCTTTTGTAAACTAGTATTCAAAACAACAAGACAGCCTGGATCGAAGACAGTCAACAATACATATATTCCAATACGTTTATCTTTCCTACCTGCTTTCAGGGCTTGGGTTTCAGGTGGAAGAGAGTCAAATGCCTGTGATCCTGTGCACATCAGCTTCTCCACTCGTTCAGATGTAATATCAAGGGGACTAGGCAGCTTTTGACACACCATAGCTGAGGCCTGTTGTTAAGGACTCCATACTGTGAGTTCATGCCCTCCACCAAGGCAACAAGTGACTGCCTGCACTAAACAGTGAGATAACCTCATATGTTTATATCAAAATCCTGAGCTATATATAAGGCAACACTGCTTTCTGAATCACATCTCAAAGTACATTTACCCATCCAGAGTGTTCAATGATTCTAAAGCTCAGATAGGGTTCCCAGGTCAGAGATATTCACTGATCACCTGTGAACAAATGAGGACAACAGAGCTTAGTAAGCTGCCTCCCATATCTTAAAGAATACAATTATTTAAATTATATACCTAATATCCACTTCTACATGTCGTAGTGAAAACAGCTTATCATATACTTTATTAATTTACTCTATTTTTATTTTACAAAGCAAATATCACTTAGAAAAGAACACTCGTTAAACTGACCACTGTTAGCATACTAATTTTTTAAAGTATCTAATACAGTTTCACGGTAGAACACTACGCAAAAAAGACTTACTTTGGATTGGAATGTGTTATTTCTGGAGGCTTACCTGGCTACCCAGCTACCAATGAGATACTGTTTTGTTCTTTTTCTTTTTTTATCAAAACCATTTCATTAAAAACCATTAAAATAAAGGATACCAAGAACAGCATGAGATATGGGGAGCCATTGACTGCAAATGGCGTTGATCTGAACTTTAGGATCAGAATGCCGTGCTTCCCGGGCTCCAATTTTTAATCCTAAAGAAGTCACTATTTTATCAATTTTTTCTTTGTCCCTATAGGAAAGATTGGAGAGAAAAGGCACATGAACGAGTAGCAGGAAGAAGGTGCTTAACTTATTCGACTTCTTTTCTTAGCGTGCTACTTCTTCAGACAAAGCTATAAATAAGTAAAGGGACTCTGACACAGCAGGGGACTCCCCAACCTCTACTCTCACACTTTCAAAATTACCTCCTTTAGCACTTCTCATAGAGCTGCGCACTGTAATTTCCTAAAGCAAGCTATGTCAACTAGTAAAGCAGCTTTACAATAACTGCTGAAGAGTTCTGATTCTAATTTAGAAAGCAAATTAACTAAACCAGCTTTCTTTTCTACTTGTGCCAGGCAAGTTATTCCCAGGTTCCCAATTGCTGATTCCAGACATCAAGCATCTTTTCTATTGTGACTAGTAATTTTAAGAACTAGGACCATATATCCAAGAGTGAACACTTCTTTCATCCTCTTCTCCCACCACCTTGGCAGGTACAACCCACCGCTGTTCCATTCCTATTTCCCTTACTTGAATCGAATGTACTCCTTTATACTGTTTCCAAACCCTACAACCAGCTCATCTGTGAAGCTCTGTTTATTGTCTCCATCAAGCTCAGCTGAGACTCATCAGACAAAGAAGGAAGGAAAATGACACTGACCAAAGAGGCCCAGAGATAAACAATCTGACAAGGGTCTTACTTTTTCAAGACAGCATCATACAAACTCCATATATTTTCCAGGATCAACTGTACAAATAAAGGTTTCTTTCCTTTGGCCTACACAGAAGAACAGATCAGCTTAAGTTTCTGAACATTAACTAGACATTCACACATTCATTCTCAATGTTTACTGTCAGTCTGGCTCATTTCTACTCAAAAATATTTATTCAATGGTAAACATGAAAAGTAATGTTCTAAACAGTCAATAATCCACAATCAATAAGCTACCATTCTCTTTCTCTGGGAATCAGGGATGATGAAAAAAATATGAGCAACTCGGCCGTTGCCACCCCACTACCATCAAAGAAATACACAGAACATCCGAGCAGAGAGCTAACACTCCACGCTGCAAGTGTGGGGGTCACAGACTTGGATTTAATGTTCATATGCTCATGTGTTTCATATGTTCTTAAAAATGAAAAACTGTTCACAAGAACAGGAAAAATTTTAAATTGTGGATTTTGTTTTATTTAAAATGGACATACAGTTTAAAATTTATAAGCAATTTAAATATGAACTTAAAGGGCTTGCCGCCAAGTCTGACAATCTGAGATCAATCCCCAGAACCCGTATGGTAGAAGGAGAAAACTAATTCATGTAAGAAAAAATATGAAACAACAAAAGCCTGCTATGAAAACATATGGGAAAAAAACACCATGTCCAATCTTAGGAGAATGCCAGGCAAAATGTGTCTTCAAGTGCCTAGGATCTGAGATTTAGGGCATTTAAAAAAAAAAAAAAAAAAAAAAAAAAAAAACCTTTCTGTTCACGTAATAAGATTTATTTATTTAATCAATTTAGTTTTGAAACAGGGTCTCCTTGTAGCCTCAGCTGGCCTGGAACTTCTATGTAGACCAGGATGGCCTCAATCTCACAAAGATCCACCTGCCTCTACCTTCCAAGTGCTGGGATTAAAGGCATGTGCCACCACGACCAGCATTATAATTTATTTTTTGAGACAGATTATTGCTCTATAACCCAGGCTGGCCTCAAACTCCTAGGATCAACTGAACCTCCTCAAGAGCTACGACAACAGGCACATACCACGGTACTCAGCTTTCTCATGACATTTAAAAGCACTTGGAACTTTACATAAAAATTCTTGGACATAAGACTCATACCCCTTCCAATTCTATGGCATATAAAATCCTTCACAAACTCTTTGCATAAACTAAAGCTGAGTTTATGGTAAAGATGGTAGAGTACACGTTTTCTATGGCTAACAACCAAAAGGGACATATACCACATTACCTGATCAACCTTCATAATCTTCTTAGCCTTCATATTTATATAATAATCTCCCCACAAGGTCTTCAAAAGCACTTCCTTTTTGATGCCAATTTTTTGACTATAGATTCTGGCAAAGTGCTCAATTCTGAAAGAAAACCAAGAGTTCATATTATAACAACAAGTACAGCTAACAAATATGGCTATTTCTATGTCAGATACTGTTCAAAATTCTTTACATGTATCACTAAACAATATTCTAAACTACCCTACAAAACTCCCATCTTACAGAAAAGGATACTGACACACAAATATATTACACAGGTAACAGGTAATGAGTGAGGCTAGGATTCAAACCCAAGCAGTATGACTCCAAAGACTATGTTGTTGTCCAACACCCTGTGTATCGCTATGAATCAGCATCTTGGCTACAGCATCCTTCCTTAATTTTGCACATGTGAAATCTGACAAAGAGAAAAAAGGGCAAGGAAGCAGAAGCTCCAGCTTCCAACCACAGCTCTGCTGACCACAGAGCTTATTACTCATCTTCACTGCTGTAGAGATGGCTGTTCACAAAACAAATGAATCTAGAACGAGAACCTTTCAAAACAAGAGTTTTAACATCCTGGAATCATCAGTGATACATACACATTTAACCCTCCTTAACCTAAAGAAAAACCACTATGGCCTCCAACCATGGGAAAATAGCCAACCAGCACCAAGGTGCAGGGCATCCTCTAGAATAAAGAACCAAGAAAGCACCTTCTTAGTGGGAAACAGTATGTTCAAAGTTCAAGTCTAGAGCTCTCAAAGTACCAGCATCTTAGAAGATTCCTGTTCAAGAACAAGACAAAAAATCCTCTTCTCAGGATCATTCTTCAACACTATACCTGCAGCTTGAGCTAATGTAGTAAGCAAGGAAATACAACTATAGTGATTAGGATAGATGAATAAACTATCTTTGGTTGTGGATGACATGATCATCTATGTAGAAAAAAACAAACCAACAAAATTATCACTGAAACTAATAACTAAAGTAAAGTTGTATATAAGGTTAGTACATAAAGTCAAATGCTTCCTCACATGCCAGTATCTTCACCAAAGAAGACATACAGGTGGCAAATAAGTATATAAACTTGCTCCACATCATGCTGTTGGAAAATGCTGTATGACACACTTATCAGAATGGCCTAAATCCAGAATGCCACTACCTGATGTTGACAAGGGCGTAGAATAATAGTAATCCCATTCATCACTAGTGGGGATGCAAACTAGGACAGCCACTTTGGAAGACAGTATGGCCATTTCTTAAACATCTGAATATATTCACATGTGATTCACATCTGAATATATTCACATGTGATGCAACAATGGTATTTTAGCCTTTCCATAAACTGAAAACATATGCCCATGTAAAAAACTGCACATGGATGTTTACAGCAGTCAATTCACAATAGCTCAAATTTGGAAGCAACCAAAGTAAATAAACTGTGGTATAGCCAGAGAGAAGACTATGATTCAACACTAAGAAATAAGCTATTAAGCTATGAACAGCCATGGATACCTTATTACTAAGTGAATGAAGCCAATCTGGAAAAGCTACATATTACTGACTTCAGTTATGTGGCATTCCAAAACTATGGGGAGAGTAAAAATGTCAGTGGTTGCCAGGAATTGGAGGGAGGTGAAGATGAATAGGTGGGACTACTATACAAATCTCATTTTCAATTTGATCCAAGTTACCATTAACTGCCAGAGAGGTAAACTATTCTGTGTGGTATGATGACACAGGACACAGCACCAAGTGAACCCCATGAGGGCATGTGGTTATAATGGTGTATGTGTTCATCACTCACTGTAAATGGACACAACAGTGAAGGACAAGGGTAATAGTGAATATTATGTGGAGGAAGGGTTTGTGAAATCTCTGCCTTCCTCTCAATTTTGTTGTGAACCCAAATCTGCTGTAAAAATATGCATTTAAAAAATAGAAACAAAAGAAGAAAAGATGCCTGCCATTTTCTTCATTGAGGAAGGAATCCAGTGTTAGCATACTGCAGACAATTCTTTGTATGTCAGCCAGTGTAGCAGTGTGGGAACCCAGGGGGTAATGGCGACTGAGTCAAGCCCCATTAGTGACATTCTTAAGCAACTGCAGGAGTTGAAGTCAACAATTACAGTGGGAACCAGAAATGTTAAAGGTCACCAGGCTGAGAAATAAAAGCAGACACTCTAGAGACTGCTGAAAATAATCACTGACCTCTCTCACTGAGGGCAAAGGAAGGGAGAAAAGAACACCCAATCAGATCAAACTCCAAATTACAGTTACAGGCTACTGTGTTGAAGCTAGTCTCAAGAGTCGATTACTTTCTAAGCAATTTGCTACTGTGTAAACTTCATTTTCAACTTGATCCAATAGCTATTTAGGAGAAGTTTTCTTTTGTTTAATTTTCTAAAACTGTAGTTTCTATGACATCTGGATTACTGTGTTTTTGCCTCTCTGAAAGGAAAACTCTCTCTTCTTCTGCAGGCTTTCCATTGAAGAAGTGCTAAATGGAGCTTTGCTGTCTCTCCTTCCTGAGAAACGGTGCTTCCTAGAAAAGATCAGGTGGGAGAACATGCTTGAGGACTGGGTACTGGGGCTGCCTGCTTTATTCTATTTCCACAGAAAGAACTTTGGAACTGCCTAGAGGTCCTGGATTGGATGTGCAAGTCTCAATGGAGGATTACCACCTGTCTGGCAAAATCCTAGCTGACAAGTGGAAAGCGACAAAGTCAGGGTCTCTCCTGGTGGGCATCTCAAAGAAAGTTTTTTTGTCCTGTGATCAGGAAAACAGAGAGAAGACCTGGCTCTTTTTACGGACCAGTGAATGGGGCAGGCAGTCAGAGCATGGGAACTCTTCTAAATGGGTGTCAGCCCTTCACTTTCTCTTCACTTATAGGAGAGGTGGAAGTGGAAGAGACAGGAGAGCGTCTTGCTCCTCCTCCTTCTGCTCACGTTTGATTGACACATTTGAGTCAAACCTTCAGTATTTAGCCTCTGTTTATTGTGCTTTTACATTTACATTTCTTTTATGTTGCAAACTTCTGGATTTATTATTGTTTTAATTTCCTTCTTTTAAAATGCTTTTCCTCCTTAATACAAGATTTCAGATATTTATTGTCACAACTGCTTGGATAGGAGGATTTCTAGTATGTTTTTTGTCTCATGTGTCTAGGATTTTAAAATATGTTAACATGTGTTACCAAAATCGAGTCATATTTTCTTTTATCTTTTATAATAATGTGAGATAAATGCCCTGCTTTTAATTCTAACAGTGGTAATCTTACAGATTTTCACAAATACTCTAAAAGCCTCTACCAAAACTACAAACTGTCCTGTTGCTCATGCTACTACTGTGAAAGTGTTTCTGGTTCATGTTTTGTTGACACACGAACCCACATACATACAGGTTTATAAATTCTTCATTCTTCCTCTGGATCCTTTTCATTTTTTAATTCATGCTTAACATAAAATTTGCTTATTCACACTGACCCCTTCCCCATTGTTTAGTGATTTCATCTTGTCACTAACTATGAATAATTATGATCTTTCTAGCACAACCTCTCTATTCTTGAAATTTAATTTTTTCTACAAAATAATTTCAAACCAGATTTTCAGAAGACCTACTGAACACATTCTGAAATTTTACTAATCTATCTCTTGCCTGTCTTGCTGGGTGATAATTCCACTGTGTGAAATGAGCTTGTTCTCCAAGCCCCACAGTAGACTAATATTAACTGCAGGATTCCTGGACTTCGGTGCACAAAGACAAGCAAAACTATTAGGAAGGGTTTTCATCATTTCTTCTCCTCTGTACCTCTTCTATAGGTTGGTGCCTACTTACCTAAAACAGGAACTCAAGATTCTTGCCACTACCCACTGAAGTATTCTCACCCAGAACAGTCTCCTGGACTGACTGATTAAAAGGCTACACTTAGGAAGCAGACCTAGGTTCATCCTCTGGTCACACCTCTAACTCATGCTCCACTGTACAACACAGAACCACCACCTGCATGTTTGAAATGCGCTCATTTCCACCCTTTGTGACACTTGTAGCTGCCAACCTTCCCTACCCGCTGCACTGGGGAGGCCAAGTGGAAGGTGAGATCTCCAGTGATTTCGCTTCCACCAGCACTTTCCCCTAAACCAACCTACCAACTGGCTGAGAACAAGTACTAGCCCATCTCTGTATCTGACCTTGCCTAACATGGAGAATATTCACTTATTGACTGGTAATACCTAAAAATTTAGAACTGGATAGGGGTAGAAGTTATCCTTATTCTGTCCATTCAGGATCCCCAGTCCTCCTTCTTTCACAGTGAGCTTCCTTCAATTTGTAAGACTTAAGACTAAATTAGGACGAAATACTAAGAATAGTATGAAAATCATTGTGAAGGACAAGCCCTCCACCTTGTGGTTCACTAGCAGAATGCTCATAAACTAGTAAATTAATAAAATTGAATGATTGTTTTACTTTCTTTTCGTTTTTGCAGACAGGATTTGGCTATAGCTTATGTTGATCTGGAACTCACTATATAGCCCAGGTTGTCCCCAAACTTGTGATCTTTCTGCTTCAGGCTCCTAAAGTGCCGGGTTGCAGGTGTGAGCCACTATGCCTAGTTATTGTATTTTTTATTTGGAAGAAATTCTTAGAAGTCATTTTAGCTCAGTTTTCTTCTTTTTTAAGATGTGCAATGCCAAGCTACTAAGCACGTAGAAAAAGGGAAGTTCTCAGCAGGTTCATAACTGCTGTTCTCTCTGTAGACCTATTACCTACTATTTATTTAGGTTTGCCATAACATTTCAGGTACCAAGTGGACTAAGGTAATCTATAATCTATAACTGATTTTAAATGGTCCCTACATGTACATATCCAGGGTTAGTAGCTCTCTATATTTCATAGAGAAGATCCAAGAGAAGTACCATAGTAGAAAATATGACCTTGTATGGTCAACTTTGATGTTCATGTCAGTTCTGTCACTTGGTAGCTCAGTGACGCTGAAAAAAAAAAAAAAAAACTCCATGCTTTGAAGCCTTAGTTAATAGTACTTATTTCAAAGGATAGTAGTAAGAATTTAATGAAATAATTCAAATAAAGTGACTAACTCTATGCCTAGCATATGTGTATCCTCAATAAAGTTAATTTCTTTCTATATTAGCCTCTGCTAACACTGGTATAAAAGTTAATGTATTTTCTCATTAATGGACAAAAACTTCAAGAAGATACATAAGAAACTGCCAAAAGATAAACTAGATTAGAAGTCAGGGTGAGAGACTCTCTGTCCAAGTGGTTTTGACAAAAGTATAACAAAAAAAAATCAATGGAGGAAAAGGTTTTTCAATATTTGGTATCTGAGTAAAAGAATATATTCCCCTCAACCCAAGTCTTATACTGCATACAAAATTATTAACTCAAAATGAATCTCAGACTTAAATGTAAAAAATAAAAAATATTAAAGATCTGAGAGTGAAGCAGGACTAGTTGGGAAGAGGAAGCAGACTAATGGGAGAAGGGGGTAGGAGAGGGTGGTGGAATAACCCAGAAAGCTACACGGGTGAAAAGTGCAGAGAACAGAGGCTGCAGAGTGCTATCCCTGAATAGTACACCTACACCAAACTTCCGCCTCCCAAAGTACAGGGATCACTATGGGAGAGGAAGAAATGTTCCAACAGCCAGAGGGGATGGATGAGGAAACGAGGAAAACAAGGAACTCAAGCTTTCCAGACAATCGGTCAGTTACTCATCCAAACTCACAGCAATGGTGACAGCATGGACAAGTCTCATGGAAGCTCAAACCAGACAAAATTCCAGCATAGACATGGGGAAGTGGATAAGAAACTCCAACCCTATCTTGGGAACTACTGGCAACTGATGGCTACTGGGAAGGGGAGAGTCAGTCTCTGTTAAGAGTGTGACTCTTGGTAGGTTAATGAGGCTCCAGTGGATGGTTTCATACTGAAGGGCATCTGGAGACACAAATTTGACTCTGTAGGCCTTGATATATATAACAGAATATATGAAATCCAGAGTATATGAAATCCAGCAAGGGGGTATTATAAGAGGGACACACACAGAATTCACAAAAATTCAATTTAAATGATTTTTTTTTTTTTTTTACAAAAGAAAGTATGTAATGGATGAATGGGAGGGGTAAATAAGATCAAAATATTATGTACACATATGAAACTGTCACAATGAAACCCACTAAGTGTTATTAATATATACTAATATAAACAGAAATCAGAGAAAATCTTTAGGATCGTGAGGTAGGCAAAGAATAATTAAACTTGACTCTAAAAGAAAAATACATAAAAAGAAAAAATGAAAAGCTGAATTTCATCTAAATTTAAACTTTTATACTGTGAAAGACACAGTCAAGAGGACGCAAAAAAACTACAGACCAGGAGAAAAGGACATCTGCAAAACACATATTCAGACTTCTAAAGAGCTGGGTGTAGTGATGCATACCTTTAATCCTAGCACTTGTGGGGGGGAGAGGCATTTCTGTGAGAGAGAGGCCAGCTTGGTTTACATAGCAAGTTCTAGGTCAGCTGGGGCAACATGAGGACCCTGTCTCAACACATACACACAAACATGCATGCACACACACAACCTGAAAAATTTAGCTGTATAAACTTAGCTAAAAAATAGCCAAAATGGATATAAAGAGACAATTCATCCCAGAGAACACAGAGATGATAAATCATCAAGGGAGCAGACTTTCCATCACTAGCTATAAGGAAGTATGAATTAAAAACTACAATAACTTATCAGTACACAATCAAAATAACCAAAATAAAAACAGAGATGGCACCAAATAATGCTGAAAATATGGAAAAAGTAGACCATTCAGGGACTGCTGAGGGGAATAAAATGAAAGGCCCCTTTGGAAAGCAGTTGGGTAGTTTCTTTAAATATTAAATTTACGGGCTAGGAGTGCAGCTCAGTTGGTAGGGTGCTTGTCTAGCACACACGATACCCAGGTTTGATCCCTACTTAGTACTGTTAAAAAAAAAAAAAAAACCAACCAAGCATGTTGATAAATACCTGTAATCCTGGCATTAAGAAGGCAAAGGCTACATAGGAGTACGTGAAACCTTGTCCCAAACCAACAATTTATAACTACCATATGACCTAGTAACTGTAACCTCTGGGCATTTATGCAAGAGAAATAAAAATGCATATTTACACAAAAACCTGTACCTGAATGTTTAAATCTGCTTTACTTATAATAGCTCCCAAATGGAAAAAAAATCCAGATTTAAAAAAAATATTTAATTTTTTTATGTGTTCAAGAGTATTCGCTACACGTATATAAGTGCACCCGTGTCGTGCAATGCCCAAGGTTAGAAAAAGGTGTCAGATTCCCTGGAACTGGAGTTATGGATGATTGTTAGCCACCCATGTGGGTGTTGGGAATCGAACCCAGGTCCTCTGCAAGAGCAGTCAGTGCTCTTAACCGTTAAGCCATCACTCCAGCCCCCAAATCCAGATGTTTTTAATGGGTAAATGGATAAGCTGTGGTAAATCCATACTACAGAATACTCCTAACAATAAAATTGAACCAACTGCTGGGTGTGGTGGTACATGGCTTTAATACAGCACTTGGCAGGCAGAGGCTGGTGAATCTTTGAGTTCAAGACTAGCCTGGTTTACATAGTGAGTTCCAGGCCAGCCAGGGCCACATAAGGAGCTCTTTTCTCAAAAAACAAAACAAAAAGCTAGCAAACAAACAAAAAAATGAACCAACTATTACAAGCTGAGCATCCCTAGATCCAAAAATCCAAAATCTAAAACTGTTTAAGTACTGATACAATACTACAAGTGGAAAATCCCCCAAGACCTCATACACTAAATCTCAGTCAAAACACAGGTACACTTAAAATGTTGCATAATGTTACTTCAGACTCTTTGTGTTTAACATAAGTAAACTTTGTGTTAGACTTGGGTGCCAGTCACAAGATACCTCATGTACAGGCAAATATTTTTGTTTTACATCCCAATTCTAATCCCAGCATTTGTGAGGCAGAGGCAGGCAGATCTCTGTGAGATTGAGGCCAACTTGGTCTATATAGTGAGTTCCACCTGGGGCTAGGGAGACCCTGTTAAAAAAAGGAAAACAAAACAACAACAAAATCAAACAAATTCTAACCCTAAAACACTTCTCTCGTTTCAGCACTTCATACAAGGAGAACTCAAATTATAATATATGCAATAATTTGCATTAACATCCAGAGAATTATGATGTGTAAAAACAGCCCATCAAGGAAAGGCTACAAATTGTTTGGCTTTATTTCCATAGCAAACCACTTGGATTTCTTTTCTGTGACATCCTTGAAATAACAAATCACAGAAATGGAAAACATTAACAATTGTCTGTGGTTAAAGAGGGACTGGGAAGAACACAGACGTGGCTGTGCAAGGATGTCAGTCACGTGGAAACTTTCTAATGAGGAAAATGCTCTCTAACTTAATGGAATCAATGTTGGTGTCCTGAATGGGATATGGTATTACTGTTTTACAGTTTGTTACTGAGGGACATGGCAGGACACTGAACAAAGGATATATAAAAACTATCATTTCTCATAATTACACAAAAATTACAATTTTATCAAAATAAGGAGGTATTTTTTTTAATCAATAGTCTATAATTAACTTACCCAAAGCCCCACCCGTCTATTGCACTGGTAAATACCACATTGCCCTGCTCTGGGGAAAAATACAGCTGAGAGTCGTCAGCATCCTCCAGGCCAGTGCTCCAGTCATACACTTGATCGCCTTCAGAATTCGGGTTCACCCGGGATTCTATCTCTCTCTCTGCTCTTTCTTCTAGGACTTTAGAAGTAAAAAGAGTTCCTGTAAGTGCGTTAATCTAGGGAGAAATGGCAAAATGGCAAAGTGTCACTCATATGCTTTTCTTCTATGACTTTAGAAGCAAAAAGAGCTCCTATAAGTATGTTAATCTAGGAGAGATGGTGAAAATGGCGAAGTGTCACTCATATGCTTTGGAAACATGTGGGAGGGAACACACTGCCTAAGCTTTATTAAGCTATAATCTTCATTAAGAGTCTGGGTTCACTGGAAGTGAAATTCATAATCAATGAATAACTTAAATATATTAACTGATTCTTTCAAATTCCAACAAAACTAAGGTTTCTAATAAGGCTTCACTTTTGTGAACAGTCATTTTTGTGATCATTATGTTACTATCTGCAGAAATATCACTAAACACTCATGGTACCCAAACCCCAAAGTTTTAACTTTGTAACTATAGTCTCTCCCTCCCTATTTCCCACACCGTTTGTTTGCAATTCCCAAAACTCAACAGAAAAATAAAGAATAAAACATAAAAAGAAACAAAACAAAACAAAACAAATCCCTGCAATTTGCAAGTTCTTCCTTTTTTTCCAACCCTAATCCCCTAAATAACCAATCTTAATTTCCTGCCTCAGGGAGAAAATTGGAACTTGTTACTCAGAAGGCCTGAAGGAGACGTCTCCTGCCACTCTCTGTGGGTAAACATTGCTGCAGTATTTCTGAAAAGCAGGAGATGGCTACGCCTCTGATTACCCATGGAGAGCTGAACTAGGCACCATTCCTTCTCATTGTGCTACCTTATTTTCCCTCCCCTTAGCAAATATATTCAAGCTGATCCCAGGAATGACTGACTGTTCATTGTCTCAAACAATGTCAAACTCCTGCATATGACCTAAGACTCACCAAAAGGCAAGTCTTAGAGTCCTTTCTCCCAGGTACCATCTCTTGTCACTGTACTGTCATGGGCTCTTGGTTCTTCAGCTGTAATGAACACTTTCCTTGAAGGAAGCACAATGCCACGCCTTTACTTGCCTTCGTGAGGCTGCACCCCTCATTCTGTCTCCTGTAAATGGCCTTCTTCTAATTTTCAACCTGGCAAACATCAGAGCTCCTCCATCTCAAGGTCCCACTGTGACCACACTAGGTTAGGCACCTCTCATCTATGCTCTGAAATCATACCTGGGGAGTACCTAGTTGCTCTCTCAATGTGTCTTCAACGGTCTGCCTCCCTCACTACACTGTGACCTCTTAGAAAAAAAGGACTCTGGCCTATCTTATATTTATCATCTCTAGCATACAATGAACACTTGGCAATTAATTCATGTATTTGGCATATATTTACAGAAATGTTTATTGAACAAACAAATATATACTTAAGCATATTTTCATCTAAAACAAGTAACAAAACATGACAGACCCTCTTAATACTGCTTCACTTAAGAACTAAATTACAGTTTTCAGCTGAAGAGCCTACTGTCCAAACCTGATACTGAAGGGTTCTCTCAGAAAGGAGAGGGCTTTCCAACAGTGCTCCAGTTCTGCCATTCTGCAGGGTGTGGTGACTCCAACAGGAAGGAATCTTAAGTCAAAAAGCTTTCCAATAAGTGAATCTTCTCCAATACCCCTCCTATTCAACTCAGTAACTTCCTTATATCCTTTGAGCCCCAGTATTTAAAGCAGCAAAGAGCACAATACCTGTTCTAGAATATTCTTGAGGTGAGAGTAGGCCTCCTGTGGGGTGAATTTTAGTTCCACTATCAGGCGATCTATCTTATTAATCACTAAAACAGGACGGATGTTTTCAAGCCAGGCTTGTCGCAGAACTGCTTGTGTCTGATAAAAACAAAGGATAGTGCAAAACTATGATTTTCAATAACTAAACCATGTCAGAAAACCTTCACTAATAACCAACATAATCTCACATTCCTTTATGATAACTCAGACTAAGCTAGTCAGACACAAATGTTCAATAGGTACACAGCAAGAACACATCTAGCACAGTAACAAAGAATGAAGAATCACCCCTGCCTTTAATAGACCTTGGCAGCTTACTGAAGAAAGGCAGAAGACAGACAGAAGACAGAAGAGGCTGGTGAAAATGTGTGTGTACACACATAGAGAATTAAATAATGATAAAACAAACACCCACCATTTTAGCATATAGGTCAAAAGTTAAATACCCCCTGAAGTCCCTGTTTATCTACCTGACCATAACATTTTCAAGGTGACTATTAGTTCGCTATTCTAAGTGGGATGTCTTGACTTCATTCTCCTGTCAGATACCCCAGACACCACAAGCACAGACTAAGGCTGTATGTCAGAAGTCAAGACACCTGTAGCCTTGAGGGAACATACAGGGGAGAACACAAGATAATCATAGTACATCATTCTAGAATGCTAAATTTCCCTCGTTTGAGTAAATTAAACCTTTAATTTTTCTTTTTTAAAAGCATTAAAACAAAACAATGATACTAAGGAGTAGAACACAAGTTCTACAGGTCCCTGTCTATGAACTTGGTCTCTCTGAGTTCCACCCCCCACCATAAATGTTGTCTCTAGACTTGTTGGTAAAGTTTTCCAACTCTGGTGAGAATAGAAACATTAGATTAAGGATGTAGAAGAATAACAGAGGGACTCCTTACGTCAGAAGGATGCTTACGTGAGTGTGCGTGGCTGTGTTTAGGCAGAAGTGTAGATAGACCGAGATTCCAGTAGAAGAGAATTTTTCCTGGCTGGGGAAGAACTAGCCCAGTATCTTGCTATCAACAACCTCTTGGATTTAGAATCCTTTCCCATTGGGGTAGAACCTTGAACCCCCCTCAAATTTAGTATTTCTCCTAAGAGGGTATCACAGACAGTTCTATCAAAGTACGGCCACCATCTCTTAAGATCTCTTTAAAACTCTAGTGATTGCCGGGCATGGTGGCACACACCTTTAATCCCAGCACTTGGGAGGCAGAGGCAGGCAGATCTTTGTGAGTTCGAGGCCAGCCTAGTCTACATAGTGAGTTCCAGAACAGGTGGGGCTACAAGGAGACCCTGTCTCAAAAAAAGACAAAAACAAAAACCAAAAAAATAAACAAACAAAAAAAACACCCTCTAGTGATTTAACTTCATCAGAGACTGAAATGTTGCCAAATGTGAAATATAAAACTCACGTTTTGTCAACAGCACACAGTAATCAACAGTCTCTAATTTTTCTCCACCTTCTTCAGCCAAACACACTACTTAAGACCACACATCTCACCTGTGGACAGACTCCTTCCACAGCATCTACCACAATGATGCACCCATCGCAAATGCGAACCGCTGTCGACACTTCTGAGGAGAAATCCACATGTCCTGGAGAGTCTATCAGATTAATCAGGTACTCCTCAATACCTAAAATAAAATTTGAAGACACATACATTTCAGCTGTGTCGTGAAGCAGCACTCTTCCTCCTTGGGAGCTCTAGAAGAAAACCACTTCTAAGACTGAACAAAGCTCTAGGAGCCAAAGGCTCAATCAACAGCTACCTTTCCAATTTTTCCTACTGAACAGACAATGGACTCTAAATAGTGTCTATATAAAATGTTAAGGAACTTCACTATCATAATAGTATTGAGAGCTTAGTTATGCCTGGTACTGTACTAAAGACTTTGACTGTTCCAAACACACATTGAATTAGCCCTGTGAGATAAATACCACTATTCTCAGTTTCTGTATTAGTTGAGAGGGAAAGAAACTGATGTTTAAGGGCTCAGGAATAAAAGCAGTTCAAAGGGGCCTCAAATATCAATTCAAAATACTTTATTATTTTTATGTGTACGAGTATATCACCTACATGTATGCAAGAGCACCTGTGTCCTGCAATTCCCATGGAGGTCAGAAGAGGGTATCAGATCCCCTGGAACAGGGTTCACGGACAGCTGTTGGCTGCCATGTGGGTGCTAAGAACTGAACCTGGGTCCTCTGTAAGAGCAGCCAGTGCTTTTAACTGCTGAGCCATCTCTCCATCTCCTCAAATGCCAATTAAAGACATATCAAATTACTCCTGTAATTTGGAGCAGTGTGTGAAGCTCAACCAACAGTTAGACACAAATCTAAAAACTGCACAAAAATTTCAGGAGCAGTTATTATGTGCCAGGTGCTATGCATGTGCTCTCCCAGACAGCATCTCCTTTAATATTACCAACAACTTCCAAACTTACAGTTGGGTAACAACTCATCTTGGCTTGTTTGGTTTTAGCACTAAAATTCACACATCCCAACAAAGCCCCAGGCAAACCAGAAGAACTGGTCACCATAGGATATAGAGATTTCACACTGATACAACTTGGTAAGCCAGGTGAATAATATTCATAACACAGAATACTGCACTCATTCCCCCATCACTGAAAAATCTGATAATTTTAAAGGCAAAGTAATTATTTTTACACGAAGAATTAAATCTTGGCTGATATTTGATACTATAGAACATAGATGATCTTCAATGTTTTTTCATAATTGAGCAATATTTTGATTTTATAATTGTCAATGCTGAGAATACTTCATATAACTAACTAAAGCAAAATGGCAGAAATATGCTTAGGGCCATTTCAGAAACTGTTGGAAATTCTGTCTAATCCCATACCAAAATTTATTGAGCATTTTTAAATAAATTCTAAGTCAGCATTTTAAACAGACATATTCAAAATTAAAAATCCTAACACAATATAATCCAAAATATACTGATTTGATGCTTCCATGATGAGGAATATTACAAGCTTTTGTCTTCCATAATGTGGTGGTTTGAATGAGAAATGCCTCCACAGGCTCAGGTATTTGAACACTTGCTCTCCAGCTGCTGGAGCTGTTTGGGGAGGTTTAGGAGGCGTCACCTTGCTGAAGGAAGTACGTCACTGGAGGTAGGCTTTGCGAGCTCATAGCCTGGACCCACTTCCAGCCTGCTCTCTACTTCCTGTGTGTGGATGGAGATGCAATCCCTGAGCTTCCTCCACCAGCCACCAGCAGCAACACCTGCACCACCATTATGGATGCTAACCCTCTGGAATCATAAGCCAAACTGAACTCTTTCTTCCATAAGTCACTTTTGGTTATGGTGTTTTATCACAGCAGAAAGCAAGAAATGTACACAATTAAGCCATCGTTTCTGTAAGAGCAGACAACTTCATATGTATAGTAAAACACTGTAATTTATAAGTCTCTAATCTGAGCTGAGGTGTTTTAAGCACCTTTCGTTTTCATTGTGTGATGTGACAGCATGTACAATGCTAAGCACACACCATACGGAAGTCACACAAGGCACTACAGGTGAACACTACCAGAAACTCCATGGGTTCCCTGTTTGACTTTGAATTAATGTCTGGTCACTGCACAAACTGGGGCCTTATTACTATTACTAAAGTTTTCACTGCTCCCATATTTAATCATTCCCCATGGGGTCACAAGCCACAATTTAAGAAGTGGGGATCTAAGAAAGAAACCTAAAGTGTACTAGGGTTTGGTGGGTAAAACTGCTGTCAGCAACAGATCCCTTTCCTCAGATCACTGTTCCTCTTCCCTCACAGTATTTTGGGGAAAACTGCTTTCACAGGCTCTGCTGCTCCCAACTCACAAGGCTTCCTCCTAGAGAAGCTCATGGGACGTTTCCAAAGAAAATCACATCAATGGACTAATAGCCCACTGTACCTTAATGATACACCATCAGCTCTTTTGACACTGGTTGATGCTACCTGGACATGGCTGCAGAAGTTTCAGAGATGGAGTCTCCTGTCAAATTCTTCACAGATTCTAAACATAAACTCCTATAACAATCTTGGGCTTCTTCTGCCCTTTTCTTTGTCTTCCTAATTATGCATCTAATTCTAGCCTCTAAAATTCATTCAAGGGGGCAGACTCAGAACTAGAAGGGAATAGAAAATTAGTGATATACCAATTGTTTCCATTTGAAAAAAAAAATCTATATTCTGAAAAATAACAGTACTTCATCTAACAAACTCAGGCAATACAGGTAGCCTTATAGCTCACAACAGACAGACATCTAAAATGTCCAAAGATGCCCTGTAACAAAATACCCTGTCGACCTCTGTTTAACCTGGTTTCTCAAATGCATTTAATGGTAAGAAGCAAGAAGTGCTGTGACCAGTCAACAGGTGACAAAGGCAGTGCTGAGTTCAGAGCCTCCCAGTTCCTCCTTCCATGACTTTTTTATCCTAACCTCTACCAGGTAACTTCAAACTGAATCTCAAAGGCAGAAGTCCCACATCCATGAGAAGAAAAAGTCCACAAGCACAGCTCCTCTGTGGTAACTTAAGGTACACTTGCTGCTTTGAAACCTAATTCATTGAATGCCTTCTACTACTGTGTGTTAGGCTCAAAAGAAAAGAAAATGTTACAGGACATATCATTAGTATTACTAATGGAATATAGATGGATGGATGGATGGATGTTTTTTTTTTTAAGGTAAGGTCTCATATATCCTAGACAGACAGACAGACAGACAGACAAATTGTTTTTTTAAAGGCAAGGTCTTGTATATCCTAGTCTGGTCTTGAACATACTATGTAGCCAATGATAGGCTTGAACTTCTGATCCTCTTACCTCTGCTTCCTGAGTGCTAGGATTTATAGGCATGAACAAACATACCTGGTTTATTTGATGCTGGGGATGGAACCCAGGGCCTCATGTAATGTCAGGCAACCACTGGGGGAGCCACTGGGGGAGTGCCCAGCAAGGCCAACTGAGCTACATGTCCAATTTTATTTAAAAAAAATTTTTTTTTATTTGTATGTGTTTTGTGCTGTCTGCATGTAAGTGCACCTGTGTTGTACAAGGCCCATGGAGGCCAGAAGAGGGCATTGGGTCCCCTGGAACTGGAATTACAGATGGTTGTTAGCTATGCTGAGAACTGAATCCAAAGTCTCTGTAAGAGCACCAGGTACTCTTAACCACTGAGCTCTCTCTTCAGTCCCTGTTTATTATGGAAATTATATATTAACAATTTTTATAAATATGCTGAATGATTTTTCTCTATTTGTAATACAATCTCCTACCTCAGTCTTCTGATTGCTGGAATCATAAGGTATGGGTTGTCACAGCCAACCTTCTCTGTCATTCTGAAATTATTTTCCTAGAAAAGCTAGAGTAGGGTTCTAGCTGGATAATCCTGACTCTGATAGTGTCAAAAGTGAAGAGGTTCAGAAGGACAGTGGGAACTTCCTAATTTGTAACACTAATCCCTATTGTAGCATTTGGAGAAACTTATTCTGCCTTCTTTCCTAAACATTCCGAAAAAAATCTATTTCTGGGGACTGATCTAATAAACCAAGCCCTCTTTGGACCTTCTTCTAACCTGAAACAAACTGGACAGTGTGTGTTCTGCTGATGGTTTACTTCATTTGTTTTGGTTTTCTTCAGCCTTCCGGGCCACCAGCCATCAGTACTGTGGTCACACTCTGAACTTGATCACAGAGAACATGCCCATCTTCAAAAGTCTCCTGCACAAGCAGTAAGTGTAACCGCTGTGCCTCCACACTACCATGATTCCTTTACCTGTTCACATTTTTGCTTGAAAGGATGTAAGAATAAAAACTAGATTAAGAAACCCTGGAGAAATCAAAACAAAAGACTGTTTACTTCTTAGAACCTCTCTGAGAGGGAGAGTCAGAGATTAAGGATCAACCCCCTCACGTAAATCTCACCTTGCTAATGTGTGTCATTAAAAGGTGCAGGTCCAATCAGAGCAACTCAGAGAACAGTACAAAACTTAGACTAGGGTGAAGAATGCAGGGAGATCTGAGGCTGAAAAAAGAATATATACCTGTATTTGTATGACAAGGCAAACTTGAGCATGTTTAAAAGCCAGTGCTGAGAGATGCTAAAGATACATACGAAAAGACCCTAAATAGGGCATGAGCCCAGAGTCAGGTCCTTGCTAATGACAAGAGGTAGGCAAAGATGCCATAGCATTATGGTTTGATGTATGGTGGCAAATGTTTGAGAATTCTCTTCTGTAAAACAGAAGGTAACAGTGTCTGCTGAATCTGTAGAGAAGAGCTCAGTAATATGCTGAAGACTCCCACAAGGTTTCAATAGCTTTGGGGAGAATATCAAGACTTCCCAAGAGAGATATGGGAAGCTAGTCTGCACAACTAAAGAGGACCAAGTGTAGAGAACCAGCCTTATCAAGATTAGGGTTTTGCTGAAAGGAGGTTAAAGAATAAAAAGAAAGTTGGAGGAGGATGTGGGGAAACCTGTCAGTCAAGTGACACCTCTGGGCTATACAAGGCAGAGAGTAAACAGAAGAGTCTGATGAGGCGTAAAAAACTCCGAATCTTATGAAATAAAAACTGGGCCCCTCACTGCAGGGAAAAGAGCTGGGAAGTTAAAAGAAGAATAC